GAAATACTTTCTTATTCTCGTTTAAATAATTATCTGAATTTTACAACCAAAGTTTTTGTCTGATGTAAAATGTATAGAAATCATACATAGACCAACAAGACTGTACATCACTGTCACAACAGCGTCTGTTAACATTGTTGTGAGGATAAACAGCATTTGCATTTTCTGTTGTTCAGTTCATTTGCTGTTATAGATAAAAAACTATTCGCTGACAGCTGCCAACATCTGTGAACAAATATAATTCTGTAAAGTTTTTCTATATAGTAAGTAACTGTTAATATAGAGCGTTATTAAATGTATTGCTAATGCAGTCATATGGCACACTGACTTCTGAGGAAACTTTAGATGCACTCATCATCAGAAAGGTTGCCGACCCCTGACCTACAGGATGAAACTATAAACTCTAGTTTGTAACACGATACAGCTCAGCTGAGCGGCTGAGTGAGGGTACACTCACCAGGCACGCAGGTCTGCATCACAGTTGCAGTAGTGTTTGGAATCAGTACAGTTGTGTTCAATACCACAGGCACACTTCTGGATCCCTGGTCCTGAACCCCCCCAGTAAGAATGCTTTTCATTGGCTCTTCCTAACCACCAAGTGAAAGGGACGCCATCTGGAGGTCGAACCAAACAGCTACAGTGTACTGCTACTTAAACACTTCTGAACACACGCACCATTCAAAAATATCACTTTAATGTTTACAGTATGTGTTATGATAATAATGATGGGTGTGATGAACAGAGTAAACACATTCTTTATAGTGAGTGAAAAGGTCGATAATAGGCATCATCACCTGGACCGCTGAGCAGGCGGGACATTCGGCAAGCGTAGGCGACGTACTGCTCACAGTACTCTGCACTGCTGGTTACTGACAACATCTGGACACACGAGACAGACACGAGTATGCTGATTTGTCATTTGTCTGCTAAGAACATTTCTTAGTCTGTGATATTTATGGTCTGTGACGTGTGTTGGAATGAAAACCAACCGAACAGCTGGCTTCTTCTTTATTGTTTAGAGAACTGTGGACTGATTAAAGCCATCTAGTCCTGAACAGGTTCAACTGTTTAACATGACTATAAAAACCTGTGACTCAAGCAGCCAGCCCCGTACGACCAACACGATTCTGCTTATGAACCCATCGAATCGTTGGACTTCTCCCCAAAATATCTGTAACGCTGAACAGTCGATTAACAATGCTTAGAAGATGAACTTTGTTTCTACTTCAGTTTTGTGTCTGCATGTTTATTGTTAGCAAACTGTTTTGTTAAAAAACAAAAAGTGCAGTGCATGTAGGAAACGGAGTGTGTAACATTAAGTGTGTACCTGTTCCTCAGTCATATTGTAAGAAATCTGCAGCACTGCGTTGCCCTTGTCTGCACTGGATACTGACGTCTGAGGAGACAGGTCGTTCCTCAGCGTGGTCCAAACCACATCCTCTAAGAAAAACAACCGACATGTAAATATTCTCTGCTCCTTCTACATCACAGATTTACCTAAATACAATCAGTCACATGATAAACATGAAGTCATTTGTGCTGGAATATATTCTTCATGCTGGTTTAAATAAAGATTGAATATCTTACCTGTCATGTCACAGTGGACTCTGAAGGGGGTTATAGAGCCGCTGCCATCTGGGTCTATCCAGTAGCTCCCCGAACTCTTGCCTTGGTGCTTATACTCCTCACATGATTGCTGATACAGTGCTATCAGGGGAAGCAAGGTATAGTCTGTCTGTGTGCATCCATTTTCACCATAGAGTCAGACGCAAAAGCCAAAAAGTTGGCACCAATGTGACACAAGTCAGCAGCCCGTCCCAGAGCTGGAAACGTCTAGAAAAGTAACCCTGGGCACTCAGTTCAGTCACAGGAATTTACTCTACTGGCAGCCTCAACGACTGCTGCTGGTACCTTTCAGTATTGTGACTTGTGTCTGCAGCCATGTAAGGTTGCATGGAAAATATTGGTAGTAATAATAATGGTACAGTATTTGAATAAAGGGAGGAACAGTGTATTTGATGGATAAATGCAGAATGAAAGCCTTAGAACTAGATGCTAACAGGATCTGGGTGGTTGCCCTGACTGTACCACTGAGTGGGCAGAGATTAAAAACCAAAAACACGAATGTTCACAGCTACCTTCAGCCTAAAAGAATGAACGTGATAAATAATGCGAGCATCTTTAAAGAATCTAACATTTTTCAGGGAACCTGAGCAAATAGATCATGAAATAACCAACTAACTAAAAACTAGTCTTATGATTAACATAACATTAGGATTACCATTAATTAAACAAATGCCAGAGTATAACTGCACTTACAGGTATGGCAAGTAGCTCCAGTGTAGCCAGTGCCACTGCAGTTGCAGGTGAATGCGTCCCACGTCTGAGAGCAGCGGCCGCTGTGCTCACAGTAGTTTGGAACACACCTGACATGTGTCGAGATGAAATATTATTTTACATCCATAATCCTTATTATTACTGTTGCATCATTTATGATTTATCATTATTGTCATTTCATGGACACATTTATTGAAGCTGGTGAGGTTATAGTAAAGTCTGTATTTCAGGTGTTAGCATAAGCACATAATCTTTCATTGCAGGTGCAACTGTAATCATGTCACACATATTGCATAATTAAAGGGTTGAAGCTACGGGCAGCGCGATGTCTGGCCGATCAGTGGAGCAAAGTTCAAGCTGGAAGGATTGCTTACATATATACAATTTAACATATATTTTCTATGATTGTTTAAGAAAGGAAATAAAGGCCCTGTGCTGTGGATGTTTGCCTGGTAACAGATGACGTAGAGGGGGGTCATGCACTTAGATTAACGACACAGACACATAGTCTGTCTGGGTAAACTGACTGCAAATGTTGTGTAAGTCTAGAAAAGTGTAATAACAGGAAGCATCTGGAGGAACAGAGGAAGTAGCGGTTCCTTTTTAGAATATGTCCTCGCTGGAGTTACTGGTCATCATAAGTATAAATATCGCACCCACCTATTGTCAGGGGGAGATGGAGCCTGATGTTTCGCAGAGCCCATTTTCACCACATATATGTGTTTTAATAAAATCATTTGTGTTGACCCACTATGGACTTTCAGTCGTATGTCTCTTCCTCAAAATTCGAACCACGACACATGAAACAGCAGGAAACTCAGTGAGAACACGACTTCAACCCCTCTCCACCCTCCAGCCTGATGGAGGACCCAACAACAATCCACTGTGCTTTTCTTTATTACAATCTTAGCTTTGGACTTCTGGGATAAATACCTGTCTATAATGGCACACATATCTAGGCTGACATTTTCAAAAGTTCCAATGAGGCCCTGCTCCACCGCCTTGAGGTCCACCAGGTGATCATCTATGTGGATCATCTGCATGCAGCCCTGGAAGGAGCGCTGATGTGATCTGGGGTTAGTTTGCAGAAAATAACCTAGACAAAGACGGAGAGCAGCAAAGGCATTATTATCACCAGCAGAGGTATACTGGAATGAAGCTGGTGAGGACGGCACGGTTTAATCTCATTTAAGCAGGATTCAAAACATGCAATTATTTCAGGCACCAAAAATCGGGTCTTGAAGGTGGATGCGAGCTTCTGTGAAAATAAAGTCATTGTGCTTCAGGACAAAACAAACATCTACTTTCATTTTGTTTGATAATCAAGAAACTTGGACTAATTTTACCCACGCGGATGTAGCACGCAGTCATAGCCTGTTATTGCACGTTTTAAATTCACACTTGCATCAGTGCTGCTTTCTCACACTGTGTTTTTAGGAGAGAAGAGAAAACTTGGACACACTTGATAAAACATCAAATTACTCTGGATCATGTTTACTCCCATTTTTCAGTAATCACCTTGTTGAGTCTGTGTTTCCACAGGCGCCGCTCGTTTAGAGACGTATTCCTCATGAAGAACACAAGACAAGACAGAACATCTTCAGCCGCTAACGAGGGAAGCTTTGGTCAGAACCAGGCGGTGGAGCTTAGTGCTCATCAGCTGTCTGTAGCCCAAATCCTTCAAAGAGCAGCTTCCTCACAGCTGTTTATTCCCATGACAGTTACAGTTTACACAACACAAGCACCTCCCCATGTAAAAGCCCCCAATGGTTCTAAGACAAGGCACTGCGTGTGTGTGCGTGTGCGCGTGTGTGTG